TGTTGTATATGCAACACTAGTTACTAGACCTACGTTATTGTTTTAAATTTAATCATCATTATTTAAATACGGTCAAAATAAAAGTCTTCCCATCACCACAATATTGTTGTCATCTGATAGCAAATTTATTTCTCTACATAGAAAATAAATATTATCAACATACCTTGGAAAATAATGAAGAACAATTCGTTCAAAGAAAATGCTGCACTTCCGCGGCTTTCCAACAAATATCACAAAATGTTCTCTATCAATGACATATTGCAAACAAGACATCTTTACTCCCAAAAATTGTTTTCACTGTCACTACACACACTATTTATGCACTTACACTATTTTATATAAAAGTTCAATATTTACTATATACAACAATAAAAAAAATCAAAAAGTTAGCATTTGTGTTGATTGAAACAGACGGCATGCACGCCTTTTTTACATCTTATGCAGACTGTCCTGCTTTTTTTCCTAGTGCCACCAGCTGCTGTGCTTACTTTGCTGCAAACACTACAATTCCTTTCTTTTCTATCTGGTAAATATTCCATTCCAAAATGGTTCTGCATACCATCATCGCCACCAGCGCCAGCCATATTGGGCGGTCGAGCTTTGCTGTTCAACCATTCACGAGCCAACTCCTCAACAATTTCAATAGTGAACTGCAGTCTTGTAAGCTGTTTTCCAGTACAATTTTCTTTGTATATAATGTAGGCATTTAGTACCATCCTGGCAAATATATTGAAAACTACCTTTTTCCAATATTTTACAGTTCTTCTCTCATCCAGGTAGCAATACAGCATCTGATCTGATGAGTCAACGCCTCCCATGTACATATTATAGGTGTTGATAAGTTCTGGTTTTGTTTTTATAACATTTTCATTGCCTCTTCTCTTCACTTTTTCGACAGATTTTGCAGTTCCCTTAGTTGACAACAAAATCACTGGTTTTTTCTGGCTCTTCTTTTCACGGTAGGATAAAAATAAATTAGGCCCATTTCGCACATACTTCTTTTCCCCTACATCTAGGTTTTCTTTGATTTCTTCTGGAATCCCTTTTCTGTTTCTTCGCACTGTGCCAGTCAAGAAGGTACATTTACTGTACAGATATTCAGCTAACGGTAGACTCACAAAAAAATTATCCAGGAATATGTGGTAACCTTTATTCAAATACTGACAAATCAAAAGTAAATTTTTCACAACTTTGTAAGCCAGACCATGTTCTTTTTTTCCATCATTACTTTTAGAACCTTTATAACAATCAAAGGCTAAGCAGTACTTTGTAACAGAATCACATAACATCCACAATTTTATCCCCCATTTATGGTGGTGTTTGTTGGGTAAGTACTGTAGGATTTTTGAATGACTTTTTGTGCCTACAAGGCTTTCATCTACAGAAAGTTCACGATGCGGTGTGTAGTAGGTTCGAAATCCACGATTTGCATGCTCCATTACTGGTAAAAATTTACCACAGGGATTGTAATTTGGTTCGTTAGGCTTCGGAAGAGTTCTATTATCGGCAACATGGAAGAACTGCAAAAGGCTTTCAAAGCGGTTCCGGCTAAACATTTCACGGAACCAAGGGGTTGCTTGAGACGTACATGTGGACCAATAACTCCTTATTGTTGGTTTTCTGATAATGCCCATGTTCAAAATAACTGCTATGAACCCTTTCATTTCGGTCAGATTTACTGGCTTCCAGTTACGAGCACTCGAGTGAGGCGACATGTTGGCTAGTGAATTTATGTACTGATTTGCGTACTGATTTGTCCGCAGCACAAATGTGCTCAGCAGTCCAACAGTGAAAAATAAATTGAAATATTCAATAGGCTTGGCGTCTGAATTTGGTACATGTTTTGGACCAGGGATCTCATTGTACGTAAAGTTGTGGTCGTAACCAGGATCGTTATCGTCATCAACCTGAGTCCATTTTATCACATTTTCAGTGGGCTCAGGCTCTAGAGGATTCTCATTTGGGGGAATTCCATTTTCTATGAGTTGTTCTGGTATGTTGTGATCAAATAGGCCTTGTATGACATCATTTATAATGCGATCAACATTTTCTAGGCCTAGGCCTACATCATTTGTTACACTAGGTATAGGCCTCTGACTTTCAATCTGGGGAGGTTCGATATTGTTTGAATTATTGACTAAATTATTGTCAGCTGATGGGCCTATGGATTCCGAAAGATTTTCATTTGGCCCTGATAAACCTTGACCTAGGCCTTCATGACCAAGAACTGTATTTTCATTTGAGGCCTGGTCCTCGTCAACATTTGTATCATTTACATTTTGAGACTGTAAAACCTCATCTATAACTATATTTTTGTTGTGTTCAACAACTGAGGTCAGTTTCATAAACCTAGGCCTACCTAGAGTCTTGCCCTTTGATGTTGATTGGACTTCGTCTTCTGAAGATTCTTCAGACATAACTGTGGATGGATCGAAGTCTGGATCTTCATCCGTATCATCCCCAAAAATATCCTCACTATCACTGTGAGTTTCATTTTCGGAAGAACTTGATTCATTATCAGAATCGGAACTTTCAATATTGTCAACAAAAGAATCACTCAACTCATCATCGTTTACTTCGACGTTTTCCACCCCACGAAGATTCCTGAGCAGCGAATTTTCACTAACAGGAGATTTCTCTCTTTTTCTTTTGTTCATTTTCAAAAGATTAACACTAAATTTCGCAAAATGAAACACGAAATAAAGTTGGAAACATTCACTGAGGTTACGCGATACAGACGACAACGTAAACAAACAGATAAACAGAACCTAGCGCCGGCCGGCAATACGACAGCTGACGACAGCCAATAGCGACAGTACACAGAGTACGAAAATCTTGTGAAACCACGACAAACTACACTTCTATGTGTTGTCCAATTCGTCGAAAGGCGTTACCCCGAATTCGAAGGCGTTTGGATTGCTAGGTGGTCAGTAAATGATGAAATAACAGACGTCCGATATATCGGACGTCGGGGATTTTCGCAAAACACCTTACGTCCGATATATCGGACGCTGGGGTTAAAAGGGTTAAGTTTAATTTAAGACGGAAATAGCTAGCTCATTTCCTGAATCGTCTTTATGCTATTACTCTAGTGATCCAATGAATTGGCTGCAATACATTTTGTTTAACTTAATATCTCAACAATAAGAATTCAATTCTAGGAAGGTCACTATCCCATCAGTTGCCCTCTCAGTAACGGAAGTGTTTCCTCCCCAAAGCCATTGCCCTTTGCACCCCACCCCCCACCGGGGCACCAAAGTCATCCTCTTCTCTTACCCACGGGTCAGGTACTTTTTGGGGAGAGGTATTCTTGGGGGAAAAGCTAGTTGGTGTGCGAACTGAAGCGTAAAAGGGTTCGACCCCGGATTAGGGCCAGAGCTCGCCAGGCTTCCGTTTCCCCATCGAATCAGAGCATAGTCTCGGTAGAAGGATAGGATTGCAATAAAGGCTATGAGGGTAGGCTTCCTTTAGAGTCAATAAACTTTCATTTCAAATAATCGACTCAGAAGTCGATTGGCCCCAGTTTGCCATTGAGCACTAAGGTGTGAGTCATTCACAACTGCACGATTAATCCCTTCTTGCATCATACAAATCAGCTGGCCAGTTGCGTAAATACTATATCATTTGGGAAGCCTGGTAGCCTAAAAATATATATTAAATAAACAAACCTAGGTTCCCGAGGCTCTGCACCTTTGATATCACAAACAAACTTAAACATTCGCAATCAATTCTCTCTTTAGACAATATTTAAAAGTACTCACTGTGAATAAATATATGCATTAGGTGTTGCTATTGAAAGTGTATCACGATATTTGAATTTATTTAATATACATAATTGTTACTCACTCATTCTATTGATTTCCCTGTGTTCAATTTATTTGTTGTCAGTTTAAGGCAATCAAGGTAATCGGCTTAACCGAATGATTACACAAAGAGTGTAAAACATTGGCATTGTTCTTTTAAAACAATTATTAAAATGATTACTACTACTGGGTTTTAAACAGTACCTATATAAAATATTGGTATTCACAGATTTTAATAATACAGAATCATTACATGAATTGCAGCATTTTAGTAAAGTCAACATTTTATTTTCAGAGTACAAGCTAACAAATACATTAGATTTTAAGAAGTGATATAATATAAGATCATTGAAGGTAATCATAGGAGGACATACATCAGATCTCTCACGGTCCATCAATCGGACTTCTGAGGTACTTAAGTACAAGGGCTCACACTTAACATCTTTATCTCCACTGCGCAGCTCTGTGATTTGTCCTCAGTAGTCTAATTAAAGTTATTTAAATTCATTTTCAAACCCCACCAGGGGGCAACTTTTTGGTATATTCACACCTCCATGAAATATCAAATTATATTACATATAGGTGTGAGTAAATGTTTTGAAGAGATGAAATGGTGAATATAAAGTAGAAGTCTTTTACTTTTCTTTACAAAAGAATATACCCTAGGGAATATTATTTTTATTTTTCTTTACACGGTCGGTAGTTTGAAACTGCTTCAGGAGGCCTAGCTCAGTAGTACAAGTTTATTCTGCACAATGTTAAACTCATTAATGTTAATTTTTTACCTTAATTTGCAGTGTTTGTTGAGTGAATATTAAGAGTTAATTTGCCTTAAGGGCTAATAGAGGTATGTGGGTAAAAAAAAAATAATAATTTGTTTTTACAACTTTTATTGGGTTTTTCTTATAAGTAGCCTATATTAGTCACCGGGAATTTCGTACTTTTTAGCCAGGATTTTTTTTTTTTTTTTAGATTCTGCTGACAACCCTGGTAAACTACTCGAACAATCATATATTATAGCTATCGTATTTACGTTTTTCTTTGATGATCTTGTTTAATGGCTGCCAGGGTTAGTAAAATCCTCACAAATTGAAAGCAATTACCTATAGTGTATTACAGGGGAAAATGTAATGTACATAACAACCAACTAAACCTCAAACAGTATGATGACTTATGTATGTTAACATTATGTTTCAGATGTGCCTCCAGCTGGTGGTCCAACAAAGCCAGGTCCTAAACGTGACGTTAATCTTGGCAACTCTCCTCAGAAAAGGTTCAAAACAGGAAGTTAACCATGCCAATCTTAAAAATGTCTTAATAAAAGTAAAATATTTATTGAAGTAAGTCAAGAGTAAGCTCTTTTTATTTGGTTTATATTTCCAGAGAAAAATTTTAGAGTTGTGCTGTGTAAATTGGGTTTAGGAACTTTAATAATTGGTGACCTACTGAAGATTACAATTTCGCAGCAAAATACGTCAGCAGTACAATAAAACTTTGATTATGCAGGATAATGAACACGGGAATAACCAAGAATAACTGGAAACAAGGGTTCAAGTTACTTGGCCAACTTGAAAATTACTCAAAGCGATTTAATGTAAATATTACAAAGATAATTAATACAAAGAAAGAAATCATGCTACATGTTTATTGTGTAAAACAGCTTTCAAAAGATGAGTGATTTGAAACAACATCATCCATTCAAATTTACTTGATAAACTTTAACTTTAAATATTCTATTAGCCATTGTTCAACATTGTGTTATTGCCATAGAAGAACACTTAACGCTTGTAAGTTAGTCATTCTGTTGTCATTTTACTCTCACCCTTCTTTCTTTCTTCCCACCTGCAAGTGGTTGTGTTTGGTCAATAAAAAAAACCTAATTTTTGATCTAGTTGTTAAAATCAAGCATCAAAAGCAATGAATGTTTTCATACACTCTTTTGAGTGTGAATTTTTTACCATGATTGACCTTTTCTGAATATTCCAGGTTTTACTGTACTGTACTCTCATAACAATAACCTTGATTTTAAAAATCACTATATTTAATAAGTTTCATATCTGAGTAAAAAAATTTTTATTTTTTTATACCAACGGCTTGTTTAATGTTTTATTTTTCTTTCTTTTATTTATTTACAAAATGTACTTTTTAATAAAACAAAGTGTTTGAATGTAAGCATAATGTTGTCAACTCTATAATCTCCCAGTTTTAGATAACTTGAGTTATAGATAATACTGATGTTGGCGAACAATAAACTGAGTCGTTTTCTGATTCTTTGTTTCTCAAATTTTGATTTTTAATGGTGATTTTCCCATAAAATAGCATGAAAATCTGATTTTCACCAAAAATTTGAAGGTTTTTATTTAAAATGAGTATTTTATTAGTCCTATTAACTTTAACAAAACAGTACACCCCTGTTGCTGTAAAAATTACGGTTCATACGGGGAATTTTCCCATAAAAGTATCACAGTAACTCTCACCCCTCCAAAAGCACGATGAGGGTTGTTGACAAACTAATGGGAGAAAGTTGTGTCAATATTGCTGATACCGTACTGTTTTTTTGATGACATTTTGTTTGTAGCTCTCCAAAACAGTAATTTGTACAAAATAAAAAAAAATTAAAATATTTTTGGGGTTGAGAAACCCTTCAACCTTCTAAGGTTGATATATTGGGAGAATGCAAGAGTAAAATAACCAAACTTTCAACTACCTATACATGATGAGTGCATCTCATCCAAAACAGCTGAAAGCCATACACAATTTGGATTTTTGTATTACTAAGATTTAGGTGGTTTGAGGTCTTAAGGAGTAGTTTTACTGGGTACCCCCCTCACTTTTTTTTCCTAATGTATATTGCAGCTAAAATATGTTCATAAACAAGCAAACTACAACAGTTGACTTATTCTCCATAAGAATAACATGGGAATTTTAAATTTACAATTTTTTGGAATTGTCTCCGTAACCATTAGGCGCACAACAACGCTTCAATGTACTAAATTATTTGTTTTTTTAAGCTCTACAAAATGGGTTGGAAAGAAATTGTGAAATTTTGTGTTTTTATGGTCAAAAATGGGAAAACCCCATTTTTACCCCTTAAAACCCCATATAAAACCCCGTTCCCATAGTCCGATCATGCTGGTTCGCGAACTCGTTCAAATAAATGTAGGTTTGTACCAAATTTCATCAAAATCGGATAATTTTTGCTTGAGTTATCGCGCTAACGGACACATATATAAATATATATATATATAAATAATATATATATATATATGAATTTGAACGGATGTTGTTTTTGGCCTCTAGGGACCTCAAAACAAAAAGTAAATTGGTCCCGGATCCAGGTCTTACCATGAGTACTACGGTAATAGCTTATTCCCTATATGGGAAATTCGCTTAAACAAATAATTTAGTATGTTGAAGTGTTTTTGTACAGTTATTGGTTACGGAGAAAATAAAAAAAAAAAAATGCCTATGTTATTTATATGTAGGCCTATTATAAATAACATCTATATATATTTAATACGCTAGGCATATTTTTGTCATAATTATATAGGCCTATTATTAACATTTAGGCTAAATATATATATATATTTATTTATTTATATTTGTTTTTGGCCTCTGGGGACATTAAAACAAAAAATTTAATTCAGTTCAGATCTTACTATGAGACCTACGACAATAGCTTGTTCGCTATATGGAAAATTCACTAAAAATGAGATAGGCCCTTTTGTGTAAAACCAGGTTGAAAATTACCTTTGGTCGCAACTGGTACGCTTCTAGAGGTGGTCAGACTACGCTGGTTGAAATGATTAGGGAATTTTAGAGAGGAGAGAATAGTTTTAGGCTTGATGTATAATGGAAAAGGATAGAGATTTACCTTGAATAGTTATATCTTTCTAATCTTGAATCTTGATTCTAGTCATGAGTTTAATAGTGTTGAAGAAAGAGAAAATCCTTTATAACTTTTAAGATATACTTACATAATCTAGAGAAAATCACCACTAAATAAAAGTAAAAAGATTGAGGACAAAACTTAGATGTATTTCTTGACCATTTTGAACAATAACAACAATAATCACATGTAGTAAAAAATTGAAAAACCCCAAAAAATGTGTTGGTGACAGACTAAAATAAAAATCAATTATAGAATACTTAACATGCCGGGCCCCTTGAACTGCAGGTTCAATGATTAATTCAACAAGTGAGAACAGAAACAGTAATAAAAAGCAGAGAAAGTTAAATCAACAAAAGGGACTGAACTGCAATAAAATTTAGTCTTCAAATACAGGCAGTGGGAAAACCTTGATTGCCGGTCTTGTGAGAAGGCCACTCTTCGTACGCACTGTGACAACTCTTGTAATGTTATCTGAACCAGGGTGTGTTTCAACAATTCTAGCCAGTGGCCAATACATTGGAGGTGTAAGGATGTCTTGAATCACAACAAGATCTCCAACTTTCAAGTTTGGTGTTTGTTTGTTCCACTTGTTGCGTTCTTGCAAAGTATGAAGGCAGTCTCCATCGATGCCATATTTTGAGTTTATTTGTCGTATGATGGGTTCTATGTAGAAAGTGTCCAGGTGTTGGTGCATATACGTCTGATGGATCTGCTGAGGGAGGAGCTAGAAATTGATAGTTCTGGATTGCTTCTTTACAAGACAGTCGAGTTTTTAATTTCTTTTCTAGTGGGAAAAATCTTGTTTTAGTGGTGTTACAATAGTCTTCAGGAGGAGGGTGACAACCCTTTACGTGGTATATACTAGAGGATTGTCTAGAATAAGTCTTCACAAAATGTCTTTTGCTCAAAATGTTGTCTTCATTTGGTTTAGAAAATGAGGGAGGTTTTTCTTGTTTGATAAACCGTGGAAAGGAGGAATGATGATCATAATCACAGACAGTTAACATGGAGGTGAGAGGAGAGTTTGGTACTGAGTTTCTTGATGTACGGTCTTTTGATGGCTCTAGATGTAACAGGGTGTGGTGATTGTTATGACATTTAAAACAAGAGTTTTTTGATTTGCAGTTACTGACTTTATGATTTCCAATACAAGAGAAACAACGTTGCTAGGATTTGATTAGTTCATGCCGTTCTTGAGGAGATTTTTCTTTGAATAAATTACAGGAATATGCTTTGTGTCCAGGTTTAGAACAAACGAAGCAAGGGAAGTCAGTGGAGCTCTGTGTTGATACAAGGGTAAATGGTCTGGGATAAGTCATTTCGTTTTTGCAGTGTAAGTTGGTCAAAGGTGGGATATTTGAGTGAGGTTTGACCCATTTACTACTATTGGGTGAGTGCATGGACACATCTTCAGCATGTGCACAATGATTTGACAGAAAAGTTATTACCTCATTGACTGAGGGTAGAGATTCAGAGTCATTTCTTGAAGATTCATATTTATTTAACAATTTTGAGTCTAGTTTTCGTAAAAGCATTGATGCTAAGAGAGGGTTGTTTTCCACTACATCACAGCCTAATGCTGTTAGAGCTTTGGAATTTTCATTAAAAGAGTTTAGCAAGTTTCTGAGATCCTTAGTAGAGGAAAAACTAACACTAGGCAAATCAATGATTTTATTGATGTGGAGAGATGAAAGTCTTCGCACTGAATGGTAACGATCTCGCAACATGTTGTACGCGATGGTGTAGTTTGCTTCAGAGATGGGTAGGGATTTGACCAGATTGAGTGCTTCACCAGATAAAGTACTAAGTAGATATTGAAATTTAGCCACATTTGAGAGAGATGAATTTGAATGAATTGTGGTATCAAAGAGGTTGATGAAGGCTATCCAAGTTTGAGAGTCCCCATTAAAGTGTTTTAATTCTATTTTTGGTAAGCGCACCACAGACATGTTAGAGTGTTCCCGTTCATTGAGATGAGAGGTAATAGATTGATTGCCATCATTGCCTTTACGTTCCAAAAGATAAGCATTTATTTTACTTTCTATGCTGATACAAAGTTCATTTATTTCCTCCTGTCGATCAATTAGATCTTGTTTATCATAGTCACCAAGCAGAGTAGGCACGTCCAGTAATTTTCTAATGTGTTCATTAAATTCACAACGCTTTTCATTTACTTCACTTTTATAGGAATTAACCTTTTGTTGATCAACTAATTGAAAATGATCATTTTCTGATATAGTGTCAATAAATGAAAGAATATTATTGAGACGAACTTTGATTAGGTTAGAAAATCTGACAAAGGTTTGATACTTCATTTTGTATATTAATTGAATGTACTATAGTTCGGCCGCTTAGAAAACGACCTTCGCGCTAATGCTAAACCAATGCTGGAGGAGGTCGTTTTCTAAGCGGCCGCACCTATAGTGAGCTGATTGAAGAAATGAGGTTGTAAAGGCAGAGATAGAAAGGGGTAATAATATTGTTACTAGGCAACAGAACCAAACATTCCAATTTGTCAGTGTAAACATTAGTAGATTTTAAAGATTCAATTTTGAATATCTTGATGAAATAACAAATAATAATGTACAATATTAGTAGTTTTGAATATCCATATTCTTGATTCTTTCATCCGAGGCTCGAAGGACCAATGAAATGATTAGGGAATTTTAGAGAGGAGAGAATAGTTTTAGGCTTGATGTATAATGGAAAAGGATAGAGATTTACCTTGAATAGTTATATCTTTCTAATCTTGAATCTTGAGTTTAATAGTGTTGAAGAAAGAGAAAATCCTTTATAACTTTTAAGATATACTTACATAATCTAGAGATAATCACCACTAAATAAAAGTAAAAAGATTGAGGACAAAACTTAGATGTATTTCTTGACCATTTTGAACAATAACAACAATAATCACATGTAGTAAAAAATTGAAAACCCCAAAAAAATGTGTTGGTGACAGACTAAAATAAAAATCAATTATAGAATACTTAACACTGGTGGCTGGCACCAGCGAGTGCGAGTGATCACGTGACCTCTAGTCGCCGCTGCCTCGCTGATGGACAGATGAAACCTGGCACATGGATTTTAAGTAGAAATCGTGTACTCTCATGGCAGAAAACATCGGTCGGGGAAGACCGGGGCTCGACCCTTATTAGCCGCGCTTGAGTGGACATTGGCCGGTCGTAAATCACCAACTCACTGCATTGACACTTGGACACTTGTTCAGCTTATATTCCTGTATATTAAATCCTATCATGATTACAATTAGCTAACCTGCATTGTAATGTTATATGATTTTTAATTTAACTGCAAAATACATATGAATGTAATCGGTCTTTTAATAACATAGGCCCTGTCAGTGGCGGTTCCAGGAGGGGGCCATGGCCCCCCCCCCCCGAGATTTATTTTTTTTTTTTTTTTTTATTTAAACATTTATTTTATTTACATGAATAGACTATTACACGCACATAAGCATGTTGGACTATAAGTGTCACTGAAGAGTTGAAAGACTTGGACAAACTGTGTGTCTGGAAAATCGTTGGGAAACCCCGCTCTGCACTCTGTAGCGATGCAGTCTGGGCAGTGGGCGTGGCACCGCGTCCGCGCGCATCCGCGTTTCCTGCCATCCGGTACGTCACCGTGTCGATCATACCTCCACATTACGTTACACCTACACTTGTGGCTCAGCTCAGTATTCGTTTTGTTAATTTGTTACGTTTTTTGTTGTGTTTGTTATTAAAACACAGTTTTACAAGATATAACCAATGTTCATCTCCATTTGAGCGTCTTGAGCTCAAGCACCGGACAAGATTATAATGGTAAGTACTGATCATGAAAGTTTTCAAATCCTAGGCTTAGTTGTTTTCTAAGTTAGGTTAGCCTAGACTCGAAATTGAGCAACCGCCATTAAACTTACTACCACTCATGTGTAGACATTAACAAAGTCGCAGTGGCACAAACAGTAAGCAATTGTAAAATATCGATGTTATAATATTCATTGCGTTTGTGGTTTTTTCATTGCGACAATGCCACGGCAGTCGGCAGCGGACAGATCCGCAGAACAGAACGCTATTTTTGAAAAACTATAATAGTTTTGACGAAATCGTCGACAACTAGTTTATGTACTGACAATTTAGATACGGTAGTTAGTTGTTGTGTGGAAGTGGGTCTTGAAGTAACCGAATTATTAAACTCGTCACCGCAACTTCCACATGTTATGTTAAGTTACGGCAATATAGCCAAATAGTAATAAACGCTGTGTATGTTGCGCTGTGGAGTGTGGGAATGGTACGTAGGTCGGAAGTCTCACAGGAAGTATACCGGTACGTATTGTTTGCTATCAAACCTGAGTTATTTTATGCGTTTTCACATTTTAGTTCTCCACTGATTCCTAGGTACTATAATTCTCCATTATTTTTGTAAAATAATGAGCAAATGTATTGTAGCAGTACACTTATGACTTGTTTTGATTTTAAATATAAAAAATTCTTAAAGTGATGTATTTTATTTTAGTAACCTATAAACATTCAGTTAATTAAGAGTGAAATCATAGTTTAATGTTAAACTATAAATAACGTAAGTTTCAAAACGGTAGATAATGCTTTGAGAAATAAAAATAAGTGGATACTGGAAATTATATTAATATATTTCCATGTTGTAAATTATCGTCATTACTTTTACTTAAATGGCTTTTTCCAATTATTATTATCAAAAAAAAAAAGCCATTTAAGTAAAAGTAATGACGATAAATTATGATGTTAGAAACTAGGACAATAATTCTATCAATTGCTAAAATACCTACTAAAATTAAGTTGCGTTGCTGGGAAACAACGATAACTTACATCTCTAGTATGATATCGGCCAGTTTTCAGTATAATGTAAAATAGTCCTCTTGTCGTTTTGGAATAAATTTCACAATTTATGCCTTGTAATTTGTTAATTTGATTTATTTACAGATTTTAACTTGAAATTCCATGAACATCGTATCAAACTTTGGAATAAATTTCACAATTTATGCCTTGTAATTTGTTATTTTGATTTATTTACAGATTTTAACTTAAATTGCCTATGGTTTGTATGTATACCTGTATATTGTATTCCGTTCGTTGTTCTAGGCATTCCAAAATGATCGGAAACGCTTGAATCCAAATCCAACAAGTTCGTACTTTAAAAAAGTAGACAAGAAAGATTATGTAACTCAGGATGCGTCCAAGAAACTCGGTGACACACTGACACTCAGTCTTGATCAAGGGATATCTGATGCAGGCACCTCACAAAATGATGTCAATTCCATTCAGATTCATAACATTGGATCTAAAGAAACCCAAAAGTGAAGGCAAATGAAGCTTCGTCCACGATTGAGTCATGCAGCAATGACAGTATTTTCTCCAATGATATAGGATTGTTCATAAATAAAAGTGTCGACGAATAAACAAAGTGTAAATTGTTGGAAAACCCATGGGTACCACCGAAATCGTACCAACTGCCTCATTCGGTGCACACAAGGGGAGGCAAGGAATTGAAACGTTATTTGGGACACCATCATCTAGAACAAAGGAGTTGGCTAGTTTATTCTCACGAAAAAAGGGGAATATTTTGTAAGTTTTGTGTGCTTTTTGCCGGCGAAAGGTGTGGCCACAACAAAGGTATGATAGCACAAAACCTCGTCACTCAGCCTTTGACCACTTACGCTAAGCTTTTAGGTAAGCAGGGACATTTACAGTCCCATGAAGATACTTTGTATCACAAGTCATGTGTTCAAGCCGGCATTGATTTTCTTAAAAGTTATCACAATCCTCAGAAATCTGTTGAGAATCAGGTAGATACCCAACGAGGTAAAAGAAAATAGGGAATGACTTCGACCTATAGTGGAATCAATAGTATTTTTGGGCCGGCAGAACATCCCCTTAAGAGGTCATCGAGACGACGGCTGTTTGGAAGAGACAGCTGGGCCTAGCAATGAGGGTTATTTTAGGGCATTGCTACGTTTCAAAGTGGCGTCAGGAGACGAGCATTTAAAACGTCACTTGTCAACTGCTTCTTCAAGAGCCACCTACATTAGCAATACGACACAAAATGACCTTATTACCTGCTGTGGAGAAGAAATTACTGACACTATCCTGAGTCAAGTAAAAAATGCTAAATATTATTCAGTTATATTTGACGAAACGACAGATATTTCTCACACAGAACAACTTTCATTGAATCTAAGATACTTATACAAAAATGAAATACGAGAAGATTTCGTCAAATTCATTGACGCATATGAAAGAATTCCGTCTATAAGTCTAGATCAAGATACAGACAGTGAACAACGCCTAACTGGAGAGGCCTTAGGAAAAATTGTTGTCAAATTGCTGCAAGAATTATCATTAGATTTAAACGATTGTGTAGGCATCGGCACCGACAGTTGTAGTGTCATGTCATCCAAATCAGTAGGTGCTGTTACTGAAATGCAAAAGGTTTTGAAGAATGCATGTAGATGTCCCTGCCTGAACCATGTATTGAATAACTCAATTTCAACATCAGTTAATGTGGCTTGCATTAGAAACGCCGTGGGTGTGATGAAGACAGTTGAGGCTTTTTTTAATATGTCATCCAAAAGGAATCAGGTTTTGAAGGCAACTATAGGATACCAACTATCAAGCCTGTGTGAAACTCGTTGGGTGGAGCGCCACGAAAGCGTCATCAAATTTAGAGCTGCACTAACCAATATTGTTGACGCATTGACTTTAATAACTACATGGAAAGATTCAAAGTCATCATCTACTGCATCAACGTTGCTAAACTCGTTATGCACACCTGAGTTTTTGATATCAATGCTTGTATTGATTGATATCCTGAAAATCACACTACCCCTTAGTAGACTGCTCCAAACACCATCCCTGGACTCCAATATGGCATCACAAGCTGTAACCAACACACTGACCACAATACAAGTAAAACGAACTCAGGTTGAAACAAACTTCAGCAAAGTGTTTGTTGAATTTACAGAGCTAGCCAAAGTAGTAGACGTTGAAGTGAGGTTGCCACGACTTGCCAGCAAACAAACAAAAAGATCAAACCACCCAGGAACTCCGGAAGAGTATTATAGGAGGTCCATTTACATACCTCTACTGGACAATGTATCAAATGATCTATCAACAAGACTAAGTCAGAGTTCCCTAGAATGTTTTGGTCTAAGAGGGATCATCCCAACAATTCTAGTTGGAGCAAAAGAAGAACAACGCATAAATCTACTAAGTCAGTTGAAAACAGCATTTGATAAGTTTTCTTCTATCATTGGCAGTGGAGACAGTAAAATGAACACGATTTACTTCGAAGGTAAACTGGAACTGTGGAAAACACATTGGATGTCACAGCAAGAGAAAAATCTCATTGTTCTTAAATTATTGTGGACGGACTCATCAGTTTTGATGTTTATTTGTTTTCACGTCCAGTGCCTTTGGATGACTGAAATCTGTCATCGCATGCTGATTGGTTCCTGGAATCTGGAACCCAATTTCAGCTGTCTCTAGTAGACATTTCTGAATTTCGATATGACTAATCAAAGTCATTTTAAACTTAATTGAGGTATAATTAATAATATACATAGTCTCTGTGAAATCTTGAAAAGTAGGGCACTCTTGACATTGTGGATTGCTAAATTCTTCCACTGTCACACAGAGTTTGTAAAAGCGAGTCGAACGCTCGTACTGCCCAGTGAATGCTGGAATCTCGTAATGAACACGTTCCACGCAAATCACATTTACTGTTGTCTCATGGTGGTCTTCGGACCTATCCATGACTGAAGAGACTAAAATAAAGTCGAAACAACAGAGCACACTTCTAATCCTGAAAGATGGATTAGTCGTATTGGACATAGCGCAGGCTCAATCAAATTTCGAATCTACAAACCACACACGAACATGGATCGTACACACCCGAGACGGTACGTGTGACAATCTCAATGCTCGGAGAGGTTGAGATTTTGGTTTTGTAATTTGAAAGAACATTCAAAAGAATGTAATTGAAAATTGGCAAGGGATTCGTCCCATTTACCTTCAAAAAGATTAACCTGTAATGAAGCGCTTGTCTTATCCCCTCACAATAACGCGTAACCGGGTTTTAGACGTAGGGCAGATGCTGATCTTAATTGCAGCTATCAACCACGAAAGCTATATGCTGTGGGAACCCTCACGATCGCCGGACAGGCAGATGCCGCCCACACGAATTGTGTAGAAGAGCCTAAACGTGCTACTGTTTGATGATATCAGTGATTCTAAATTGCAGTCTGATTGATAAGACTGACCAGCTCCGCTGGATTTGCAACTACATCACCTGTCACAATCACTTTAACCAATTAATAATTTTGAGTGACTTGTAACATTAGGTGCAAGTGTTTGGCTTCGCAACCTTCTAAAATTCTAAATTAATTTTGCAGGTTAGATGTATTGGTCACGAAACTCGTTCTTGGGGTTATACGTGCGAAAAGACGCCCTAGTGGCGGAATCACTCTTGCAACGTAAAAGGTGCGATTATACGCATAACGATATCATCTGTTTCGGTCTCAGGGCTAGATAGCCCATACCTCATCAGGTGCACACTTTAGTGCACGACAGATTGAATTATAATGTGTTGAGGACGGATTAAATTTTTCATCGTCCAACTGAAATTTTGAATTTTGATGTTTCTAAATTTTGAAAAGATGAAATTGTCAACTTAGAGTTGACCAGGCACACCTGAGTATTTACTCATTGTTCTTAAATTATTGTGGACGGACTCATCAGTTTTGATGTTTATTTGTTTTCACGTCCAGTGCCTTTGGATGACTGAAATCTGTCATCGCATCACAGTGTGAATGTGCTCACAGCATGCCAAAAGAGAAAAATGTTAAGCTGCCTGAAGACGTAATGGAAGTATTGGATGCCTGTGACAGTAATATATTTCCTACAATATCAAATCTTGTCAGAATCCTGGCTACTCTTCCAGGTATGTGGTATTTAATATTACGGTCTACTATGCATACAGTAAACAAGCTATTAAAACAGTTTTTATTTTATTTCACTTTTAGTAATATTTTGATTTTCTGATCTAATAAAAATAATACCGTAAGGGAGTAGACAAGTAGAGTTAAAAATAAAATTGTGGATTTAAATACCCAAATCTGAACAAATATAAGAGGCATATTACTCTTATTAATAAACTAGCTGTACTCGCGGGCTTTGCCCCGTTTAGCTTCTTAATTTTCAAGATGAGCTCGTTCGCATGGCTCAATCACGTCCTGGTTGAAGTTCGTTCGCATGGCTCAATCACGTCCTGGTTGAAGTTCGTTCGCTACGCTCACTCACCTTTAGGTTGGAGCTCGTTCGCTGCGCTCACTTGCCTTCAGGTTACCTCGTTCGCTACGCTAACTCGCCTCCACGTTGAAGTTCGTTCGCTACACTCACACACCTTTTGGTTGCAAATTAGCTGTTGTCATAAATAAAAATAAAAAAAATAGTGCTGCAGTGTTGGTAATCCTTGTAAATTTAATGCTATTGAACATCATCGAACAGAACCAACTTGTTTAATTGAAACAGCTGTTAAGATTCATTAATTCCTTTCTAATATGACAAATTATAAGGTTAACATGGGAAACTCCAGAGCCACTGGGGCGGAGCCCGAAAGCCCGATCAGAATAAAAACTACTTAGTTTTCCTATTTAATGCCCAAAGAATCGGTGTACCGAATTTCAGCCTCCTAGGTAAATGGGAAGTGGGAGAATTAGTGATGAGTGAGTGAGTGAGTGTGTCAGTGAGGGCTTTGCCTTTTATATATTTAGATAGCCGAACAAAACGTAAACATAATTATTTATTTGTTCCACAACTGCTTGGGTAGTTTTACTTTAGTTAATAATTTATGTTCAAATTTGTAGACGCTTGTGGTGTATTTTCAATTATTAGTTTATATATATATATATCTGTACAGTTAATAAAATTCAGACGTAATGTTTTTCAGTCAGTGTGGCAACAGCGGAAAGGTCGTTCTCCACATTGAGGAGAGTCAAAACATGGCTACGGGCGAGAATGGGGGAGTCCCGTCTTACGGGAAATTCTATAAATCTTGTTATTTAGTTTTAAGCTTGACGTTATCTTTTTTATTAAACCTTTTGACTAGTCTATTTAAAGAGTTCCTCAAATGTTAAACAATTTTATTTTTTTATTTATTATTAATAAATACATTGTAAAAAAGGACATTATATAATATTAGACTATAAGAAGAATGACGAAGCACCTGTGCATTTATCTAAAACCTCTGTACGTTTATGTGCTAATAAACATGATATGATATGATATGATATGATATGATATGATATACGGGTCTTTGTCTACTTCACGTTCACCGGGATATTGAAGTAGATACTGAAAAAGTGATCGAACGTTTTGCCAAAAAGAGTGAAAGACGACTTGATTTTGTTTTGTAAATAGCCCAAGATCTAACAAGGATAAATATCATAGAATTCACTGTTGAATTTCCATTTTGTTTTACATGTAACTTAAATTTAAAAATACCCCCGCCGCAGCAAACCTGCAGACTAAGCGAATTTCCATTTGACTGATTGGATTTACACTGAAATGTCTACTTAAAAATATAACATTTATTCTTGATTTAAATAGAATTAGTTTAACAAGTACTTAGGTTTGCTGCATCAGGGAGGGTAAAACTTTTTTTTTTGTAAAATGTGAATAGGTAGTAAGAAATAAAAACATTTTCCAAATTTGATCAAAATATGTTCACAAACAAGCAAACTACAACAGTTTACTTATTCTCCATAAGAATAACATGGGAATTTTAAATTTACAATTTTTTGGAATTTTCTCCATAACTATTAGGCGCATAATAACGCTTCAATATACTAAATTATTTGTTTTTTTAAGCTCTACAAAATGGTTTGGAAAGAAATTGCTAAATTTTATGTTTTTTGGGTCAAAAATAGGAAAAACCTATTTTTACCCCATAAAACCCCCCGTAAACCCCCGTTCCCATGGTCCGATCATGCTGGATCGCGAACTCGTTCGAATAAACGTACGTTTACACGTTTGTACCAAATTTCATCCAAATCGGATCATTTTTGCTCGAGTTATCGTGCTGACGGACACATATATATAAATATATATATATATATGAATTTGAACGGATGGTGTTTTTGGCCTCTAGGGACCTCAAAACGAAAAAAAAAAATCGGTCCCGCGTCCAGGTCTTACCATGAGTACTACGGTAATAGCTTATTCCCTATATGGGAAATTCGCTAAAAACTGGTACTATAGCCTACTTATTGTCCAAAAATTCATGTTCCTCAAATCCCTTGATTGTTAAAATCTCACAATTTGCTTTTAAACTGTGTAAAAATGTTAGGTTAGGTTAGGCAACGTCAATAATAACGTCAAGTAAGCGAAAAACTTTTTTATTTTCTGAAACAATAATTGTTGAAGGAATACTTTGTGCGTCAGCATTATGAAACAAAATATTTAAAAATAGATAATGTGAAATTACAGGGCCAGTAGAGCAGACAAAGTTGTATCACTGAAAAAAGTAGGTAAGTTTTGCACTAAAACTCTCCTTTTCAGATTACAAGAGATTAAACTTTTTCTTCGTCAGAGTGCTTAAAATGTCGACTTTGTAAGTATAATTTTCCAAAAATTTCCAGACACAACAAGGAACAATAATTTTAAAACTTATTTAAAGACAAACACGTTTTTTATTAACACGTTTACATTGATACAGTATCAAGATTACTTTCATAAGTAGGTACTGTATAAAAAGAAATTAATTGAAATATATATATATATATATATATATATATATATATATATATATATATATATATATAATACGCTAAGCCGATTTTTGTGAACAGAACTTCTCCCTCATTTTTGGAGCAGTGCGGAGTGTGGGATCAGTTTATGGCGATTAGAGTAAGGTATCTGCAATCCTAAAATGATATGGTAAGGGAGAAAACAGATCCGCGGCGTGGGAAGTGGTGAAGGAAGTAGTCAAAACGGGCTATCCGGAGTGTGGGAACTGTTTATGACGATTAGATTTAGGTATTTGCAATCCTAAAATGCTATGGGCACTGGGCAGGGAATGAAACAGGTCCGCTGCGTTAAGTGGTGAAGGAAGTAGTGAAGGCGAGCTGTCTGGAGTGTGGGATCTGTTTATTACAATTAGATTAAGGCGTTTGCAATCCTAAAATGCTATGGGAAGGAAGGGAATAAGGTCCGTGACGTAGGAAGTAGTGAAAGAAGTAGTTAAGGCGAGCATTCCGGACTGTGAGAAATGTTTATGACAATTAGATAAAGGTATCTGCCATCATAAAAATGCTATATGGGAAGGGAGGAAAACAGGTCCACGATGTAGGGAGTAGTGATGATGGAAGTAGTAAATGCGATCAGTGTGGAGTTTGGAAATGGATTAATGTATCTGCAATACTGAAACTGTGTTCAGAGTAAACAAATGATTTTCCCCGAGTGAAGCTCGGTCCCCAGGTACTTTAATAATAAACTTAATATTTATTGACATCTACTTCATTTCAGTACATTTTAAATGCTCAGAATAAGTTATTAGCTTTATTTCACTTATAAAATATAATTTATAACAGAGATCAAGCGTATAGGCTATGCAAAATCACATATTTTAAGGCTAAGTTACCAAATATTTAGTATGGATGGAGCTTCTTGTGACCCTAAAAGTGGAGACAGAGAGGTTATCTCATCTAGCTTACAAATAGAGCTCTTCCAAAATACAGTTGAACCTCGTTTGTACGAACCTCGTTAAAACGAATTCCTCGATAAGACGATTTTTTTTTAATCCCCTTGACACTTTCATATAGGTCAATGCTAAAAACACCTCTATACAACGTAGTAATTAAGTTAAAAACCTCCATAAGACGAATTTGTTTGTGACATGGGCTAGGACTGATTAACCTCTATACAACGAATATTCTTAGCACAAAACCTCTACAAGACGAACGTGACCTCTATAAGACGAATTTATCATAATCTTAACCTCCATAGTACGTAGTTTTCAAAACAAACAGAAGCTTGTCTCAACATGAAACCCCACCCATCCCTCCTCCTTCCTCAATCATTGTTTGGAAAAACCTTGGAGCAAGGAGAAACCTCTATAAGAAGAATAACAGCAGCATTAAACCTCGATAAAACGACCCTCTTTATTAAGAATACCTCTATTGTACGAATATT